TACAGTGAACTTGATCGAGGGGGCTAAGTTGTTAAGTTGTGGTAGAAAATCTTTTAGGGCTTCATTACATGGCCAAAGACATATTACATCATCTACATATCTAAACCAGACTGCTGAAGGTGGTAAAAAATTATTAGTTTCTTCTCAAAGAATTCCATATATATGTTGCTTAATACTGGTGAAAGCGGATTACCCATTGCCATACCAAATTTTTGAGCATAATATTCTCCATTGAATTCAAATTTACAATCCTTAATACATAGTTTGATGAGTTCAATGAAGTCATCTTTCGAGACGGGCAATGAAATATTACCCAGTTAATCTGTGAGGAACTCCAGTACATCATCAACTGGGACCTTTGTAAAGAGTGATATTACATCAAAACTGACCAGTTTAAAATCATAATTAATATGTAAGTTATTGAGTTTATCAACCAGATCCATATTATTCTTAATATTAGAGTTAGAAATGTTGCCAACTAGGGGATTTAGTAAAGAAACTAACCATTTAGATAACTTATAAGAGATTGACCCAACTGAGCTAATGATGGGACTTGCTGGGTTATTAGGCTTGTGAGTCTTGATTAGACCGTACATGTATGGCAGTGGAGGGGACGTTGAAGTAAAATGTTTAATGAGATTAGCTTTACCTCGCAATAGAGACTTAAGTTTCTTGTTAAACTGAGTGATTACTGTGTTGAGAGGATTATTTATGAGCTTAGAATATGTTGCAACTTCACATAAATAATAATAATTTTTGTTTAAAATCACTACTGTGTTGGCGTTATCTGCTTTAGTAACACGTAGATCCTTATTTTTCTTAAGGGTTTGCATTGCTTTGGTGAATCTTTCTGGACAATTTGGAACACAAGACATAGATGCATACACAATACCTTTACACATGTTCACTTCTTCATTTGTCAAAATACTAGGGGCTTGATCTCACTCTCCTCTACTGCATATATTAGCCTTCTCAAGTATTTCTCCTTAGTCTATACTCACCCCTGAAAATGTGAATTACACGAGCGCTTGGGAGTTTCGTGTTTTCTTGTTTCCTTGTGGTTATCAGCATATATATATATATATATATGTATATATATATATATATATATATATATATATATATATATATATATATATATATATATATATATATATATATATATATATATATATATATATATATATTAATTGGTCAGTGGTTAACCATTATCCTCAAGTATTACTGAAATATAATTCCATGTTCACTAATGACGCTTGAAGTACGTCTAGCAACTATCTCGTGCGTCGATCTCAGCTCATTTCTCCTTCTCTTGTGATTGGTTGATGATTTTGTTAACTGAGCGAGGATTGGCCAACTAGCTCATGCACTGCCATCTACCTTCGGTTTTCTGAGTTATGGACTGCTTATGGGACTGTAATTAAATTTTGAGCATGAGAAATTTACGGGACTGTAAGGAGTCTGTAAATTACGGTACTGTATCTCTGCTACTGTATGTAACTGATGAGGTGTTTTGAGTATGCGGCCCCTGGTTGGTACTGAGACAGTTTCAAACATCTGAAGCAGGAAGTGCAGCAATAGCTGGCTGGGAGAGTTAACAAACTTTTGGGTGAGACTTTACGTAGTGTGATTTAAAGCTCCCACCCCAGAGTCCGGACCACCAACTTTTACAATGGGCCCGATTTTTTGTGTTATTCTTATTTATTGTTGACCGATTGACTTTTTTCCTCCTTCGTCTTTCTTTCCATAATTTTCTATATATTTTCTTCACTATTTCTTTCCGTATTGGGTTCAAATAACAGTTCTCCTAATTTTATTGTTTTCTGAAGACTGTGTTGTACAACAGTTATTGTCAAGACGCAGTACAATGTCGTATTTTTTTAATGACAGTCGGGAAAGCTAAGCTAACGCGTTAGCTATTCCGTGCTTCTTAAAACGGCTTACAATAAATGCTTTTGATATGACAAACAAAGAAGATGCCAGATGTTACCAGGTACTGTATTGTCAGAGAGAAAGTTGGACCCACCTGGGCATTTCTATACCATTTGTAGAGTAGAATGAAAATAATATTTTATTCTTTGTTAACTCACGTCGTTATCTGTGTTTCTGTCTGGCTCAAAGTTTCTATCGTTATCTGATTAGTATGGTAACGCTTATCCTATTATATTATCACTGAACATCACGCAGGTCGTCTTCTTAACTTATCTCGGGTCAAACATTGCCACCTGAGGAGGAGGTTATCTCGTTACTGAGCGAATCGTCTTGGAAAATTAATTATACGTGAACATATATCATTAATGTGGTGGTTGTATGATGTGGTGGTTATTAATGTCAAATTTCCTGATACTTTTTGGTGTATTTCTTTGCATTGTGTGTCTCTGTGATTACTTTTGTTTTTGTGTTGGATTTGTATTGTTGGTTAATTGAGAGGTAGAGTTGAAAGTTTGTTTGAGGAGTATTTTATTACCGGGGGGATTATAGTAGTGTTTGCTATGTGAGGATGATAGATGATTCATATCTTCTGGTGTAATTATATCTGGACACACACACACACACACACCTGACTGCTCTATGCCAAATCATCCTACTAACTCAGCCTTACGTAAAAAAATACTAATAACAGCACCGTTTAAACAACCCTTATCCCCTTACCTCTGCGGTGAAGACCGTCGTCAGTCATACATACAAAACAAAGAGGAAGGTTGATGTGTACAGTGTATATAAATAAACACCTTCGGGCAGTGTGTTACGTGACTCTTCGGTGTTATTTTCGCCACATTAAGATTGACCTTCTGTGCGTTTCTCTCGTTTCTTTCCTCCCTTCATTTATTTCGTTTGTGTTCATCTTACGATAATCCTTAACCAGGACCCAGGCGCTAACCTAACCTAACCTCATTACCGAATGGAACGTAACCTAATACATCCTAATCTAATCTAGCCTAACCTAATCTAACCTAACCTAACCTAATATAACGTAACCTAACCTTACTTAATCTAACCCAACCTGATGTAAACTCTCCTAACCTTACCCAACCCAACCTGATCTAATCTAACCTTACTTAACCTATCCATGACACAATTTAGCTTAACCTAACCTACAGTAATCTAACCTAACGTTCTCCTAGCGAAACCTAAACTAACCTAATCCTAAGTTAATCTAACCTAATATTCCTCTAACCTACACTATTCCAAGTTAACCTAAATTAACTTCACCTAACCAAACTTCCCCTCACCTAAGTTATCAAACCCGTTCATTTAGTGATGGTAATTCGGGTTCGGCACTGTGACCATACTTGGCACATAAGGGGCACCACGCTTAATTTGTATGGGTGAATTGACGTCATTTTACGTCATCATGTATTGAAATACATGACTTTTCTGACGTATCTGATTAGCTGAAATCCACATTTAACACACACACCACACACACACGTATATATCATGCGCTATCACGCGCTCCTACAGTGATTTACATATATATATATATATACATATATATATATATATATATATATATATATATATATATATATATATATATATATATATATATATATATATAGTATATATATATATATATATATATATATATATATATATATATATATATATATATATATATATATATATATATTTTTTTTTTTTTTTTTTTTTTTTTATTTATTTTTTTTTTTATTATATTGGGCCAATGATATATATATATTTCATTAGCCCAATAACGCCACTCTATATATCAACATCAACCCGCCAGATTCGAACCCACGGCCCACGAGCCCATGACTGTGACCTGGGAACGCTAACCGCTGGACCAGCACGTTCCCCGGTCACAGTCATGGTTTCGTGGGCCGTGGGTTCGAATCCTGGCGGGTTGAGGTATATATATATATATATATATATATATATATATATATATATATATATATATATATATATATATATATGTTGATAAAATTACACAGGAAAAGTATATATATATATATATATATATATATATATATATATATATATATATATATATATATATATATATATATATATATATATATATATTTTTTTTTTTTTTTTTTATAAAATCACACGGGAAAAGGGAACAACGGAACACCTTAGTTTTCGTCTTTATTCAAGGCATCTTCAGAGGCAACTTCAGTTGCCTCTGAAGATGCCTTGAATAAAGACGAAAGCTAAGGTGCTCCGTTGTTTTCCTTTTCCAGTTTGATTTTATCAAGATTTATCTTATCCACGTTTTCATTGTGGATCTAAATGAATATATATATATATATATATATATATATATATATATATTGGTTTTAAATAATTTAATCAGCGAATATCCTATTTTAGCTTGACAACACATATATGCATATATACTGTACATACGTATATACATACATATACGTCTTACTTATCGTCCTTATCTCATTGTCCCTCGTTGTCTCTTAATATCTCTTCGTACTCGTAATTATTCGATCTATAGTGGTTACCAGTTTCGTCATCTCCTTGTAAGAGACAGTCTCCCAGTACAGTAAGAGACAGTCTCTCAGTACAGTAAGAGATAAGTCACTTTTACAAATGAGATATTCATTAAAGGGAGTGACATTGAGGAAGAGGTGATCTTTCTCTCCTTTCCTGTCTTTCAATTTATCTATATCTGTTTATCTCTCTCTCTCTCTCTCTGATATGTGTAAATATGTCTTTAAATCCCTACCTAATGGTGTTTTTTAAACCTCCCGGTTTGTTATATAAAACCTTTAAACCTGCCTGCGTGATACTGTGTTAAAGAGCTCGGGGTTTATGATTGGGGAGAACTGAAGTGAAAGAGTTTATTGCGACAGGTAAATCATTGTGAAGGGGTGTGCAAACCTTACCTCTGCCGCGAGACCTTGGCGTTGGGGGTAAGAGGGAGGGAGAGAGGGTAAAAACAGCTGACTTACCCCTCCCTCTAACCCCCCCCCCCCCATCCGCTCGCCAGTAAAGTTAGTAAACCCCAGTGTCACACCACTACCCTACTAGTGGTCCCAAGCTGCCGGCAACCCTCCTACCTCCCTCCAACCCGGCTCCGCTCTCACCCCCCCTCGGCGCATCGTACGATCCCAGCGATCAATATTCTCAGTGGTTGGTGCAGTAGCTGTGTGTGTGCGCTGGGTGTTCTCCCGCCGTGTGTTTACCTCGTGTGCCGGGCGTCCATATCTGGACCTCTCTTTCACTGCTGTTGCGTCACCTCAACCGCCTCCGTTGTGACTAGTCTTCCCAGATCTCAGTGACTCACAGACCGTACCAGCAATAGGAAAGGGCCTCTTGGATTTAAGCGCTAAGCGTTGTAGATAGAAAAAAACGGCCACTTCCATGCGCCATTCATAGCGAGTGTCGAACGTGTGGGACTTCCTCCATCATTACCCACACACAGGTAAGTTCTTTTCATTTTATAACCTCTTGTGTACCTGTGTGGGTGTAGTGATCTCCCGTGGTTCTGTGGGAGGTGTTCATGCCGCATGACGACAGACATAGAAGGAAAATAAAAGGCGGAAACATTGTTGTTCACGACGTAGGTGTGTCACCAGGTAACATTGCCAGGTTATTAGTCTACCTGCTGCTGTGTTGTGGTTCCTGCCGTAACCAACCACCACAGTATGTAAACAACAGTGACGTGGTGAGCAGATAATGACGTCCATCGTGTTTTGTGTCATATTTTCCTCACAGATGACAGTGGTGCCTCTGGCGCATGCGTCGGCAAAGGCGAGGCTTGATTATTTTCGTTCTTCCCAGGATGTTTAACACATCTGGCTCTGCGCCATGGTGTAAAGTAGCATCAGAATGTGTCTCTGGTGGAGATATATGTTATATGAATTTTCTAAATAACGTAAAATTCGAAAAAAATCTGGTTACCGGTAGTATCGACTCGTGCAGGGTCGTGGTGTCCCTTATAATGGGGTCGTCCACGGCCTAATCAATACAACTGATAAGTCGATACCAGAACGTCCCCGAGTCTGAGGTGTCTCGGAGATGACCTTGAGGACTGATAAGGAAAAACCGAGGAGTAGAGAGGATGCACAAGAGGTCGTCCTGGGTGAGAACGCTGCAGTCGTTGCCATGTTACATAATACTTCCTTGAGATAAATGTATAGTATACTGTATATCAGGTGCCTAAAAGAGAGCTCAGGTTCTCAACTGGCTCAGCCATGTTAATATTGTTATTATTATCCACTCTCTTTCTGTGTTTTTCTGGCTAAATAAACTTTCAATTCAATTCAATTCAAGTGTATGTGAGCGTGATCACGTTAGCGGGGTCCAGCAGCCAACCCGGGGAGCCAACGTTCGGTGACGTGGATTTCCTGCTCCACCTACTGCACAGGAAACAATGCAGGATTTCTCCCTTTCCACGAACACCTCCGATCATTGCTCTGGAAAATTAAATGACTAACTCTTACACTATCGCTTTAAGATTAGCAGTATATTGGAGGACACAGCTTATGGGAAATAAATTAGATGTAAGAGATGTCTACGTTGCACTTCCCGCGGTCATGAAGTTGTCTGTACAGATGACGAACGCTGGCAAGAATCGTTGAGCGGAGGGCACATATGTACGAGTTACCTGTTGTTCATTATTCAACCAATAATTGAATCCGTATCGTATATACACTTACTATACTTCTAATTCAACAGAAAATACAAGGAACTTTATATTCTATTATACATTAGTCCATACGTAATACCCAAACACTTTCGAAGACCTAATAATAAGAGCAATTACAACAGATGGCACGGTCAGCGGTGACAGCTAAGTACAGGCGCCAATGATTATTTTTAATTTCCTTGATAATTAAACTACAAAATATACATTCCTTTTAATATTTAGCATTATTAGTCTAATTTAGGACTGAACTAACAGTACGCTCGCAGAGAACTGTAGTACAGTACAGTACTTATTGAAGAGGTGCTGGGCCTCTTAATCAGAGTATCCCTCAAGGCTTAACGATAGTTTGCACTCTGTGTTGTTTTTGTTCAGAGTAGAGGAGGTGTGGGACCAGCTGGCACGTCACGGGCTGCGTCCTATGTCTGGAGAGACACACACACACACACATATATATATATATATATATATATATATATATATATATATATATATATATATATATATATATATATATATATTATATATATATATATATATATATATATATATATATATATATATATATATATATATATATATATATATATTTCATGTAAACACAATGAAAACGTGGATAAGATAAATCTTGAAGATGTCTTGAAAGGGAATAAGAGTACTCCGTTGTTTCCATTTTTCCGTGTGATTTTATCAAGATATATATATATATATATATATATATATATATATATATATATATATATATATATATATATATATATATATATATATTAAATTAGCCCAATAAAACACGCGGAAATATAACAGTCTAGGACTGCTTTTAGTATCCTGCTGGTCCGAGGTAACGTTCCCGGTCACAGTCGTGGGCGTGGGTTCGAATCCTGGCGGGTGAGGTGTTGTTGTATATATATATATATATATATATATATATATATATAT